CGTTTCCATGCACTTTCGAGCGGAGAAATTGGCATGGTACTGCAGATGCAGACCCGTTCCCGAGGACCTCCATGAAAAGGAGCGTCCTTGGAGGTAAGGGTACTGTTTGTATTCGAACCTTCATTACATGAGCATCTAAATAGATTGTTTTTTTACTTTTCGTGGAATTCGTCAAAATATCACTTTTTTCGTGTTGCAGGTCACAATCCCGAAGATGAAAATTGAGACAAACCTTGAGCTCAGAGAAACTCTCGTCACAATGGGTATCACCGACATATTTACCGAACATGCTGATCTGACCGGAATCGCCGAAACTCCCCAATTGCAAGTCTCCCAAGTGGCTCACAAAGCAGTCATCGAGGTGGACTTTTCGTTCTGGATTTCCTTTTTTCCTTTTTACTGTCCTAGTTGAGTGCAAGGCGATTGCATGAGCAGAGTCAGGCTTTCCACAGTGCCCTCCTCATTGGTGGGGGCCCCAAAATGTAGTGACGCACTAGAAAGCACAATGGGGCGCAGTTTGACGACTGGGGGCATTTTGCACTTCTGCTACTTCCCATCGACGTGTCGGCCTATATAGACAGCTTTATATAGACAGCCTCCCCTCCGTTTTGACAGGTTTTAACATGAAATGCTGACGACTTTGTTCCAGCTTGAGAGTCACAAGGTATTCAGCCAGAGCAACATGATAGTACAAAATGTGCCTCATCCCCCACCCTCGAACCGCCCCGCGTCGTCAAACTGCGCCGCACAAAAAAAAAAAAGATGAGTTTACATGACTCAGCTCAATGCGATCTTCCACTCCTTATCACTCGAATTCAGTGGGGCGGTCACGGAGGCATGGGTTTGACGCGTCACCAGCCGTTTTTCAAGACCGTTGTGTCAGTGAGTGGTGAGAAAGAAGTTGGATCTCCGCCAAGTCTCACGCACCGCTGACCCGCCCCGACTTACTTCAGTGATAAGCTGTGTAGCTGTGCCCTCGAAGGAATATGCTACAGGTCGATGAGGACGGCACCACAGCTGCAGCAGCCACAGTGTTCAAAGTTAAGTGGAAGTCGCTCTCAACCGCTGTACCCATAGACTTCCGTGCAGATCACCCATTCTTGTTTGTTCTTACCAAGGATAAAAATCCATTATTTATGGGTCAGTTCACGTAATGCACATACTTTTTCAAAAGATAGATCAATAAATGTATTTCATTGAGAGGTCCAGAGGTGAGATCTAACCTGAGGTGAGAGGTTGGATGTGATACAGTGAGCTATATAACCCTGAAAGCACTTTCTCCACTGCACTCACTTTTACCCCCATCTGCTCGAACATTGCTGCTGAACTGGTTAGTACCACAGAATGTAAATACATGTGAAAGACGATTACTGTCGAGTTATGCATAATTTGTTTACAGTGGTATCGTACGCATCTCATATCGATTTTTATGGAACCTATTTTTCACCTCCACTTCACTTCCCTGACCACTTCCCTGACCACGGCCGCCTCGGAGCCAGTGACGCTTTTTCTTGTCTCTTCGTAGACTTTTTGAGATCCTCACGCACCCGTCGAGCGTAGCCAGAGCTCATATTTCTACCACCAAGTACCATAGACCTTCTATCCCTTGCAATGTGGACTGCAGAGAAGTTTTCAACATAGGGAAAGTGTGTGAGCTTCATTTAACAGCTTATTACGGTATGCTATTAGAAATGCAATGGTGCTTCACTAGGGAATGATGCGTGAGAAGTTTTCCAGGGAAAAGAGATGCGAATTTTCGTTCTGGCCTCGTCTCTTCTTCGTCTTCTTAGTTACAATCATCTTCTTTATCTTGCTCTGCTTCTTCTTATTTCGAAAACTCCATATTTAGCGGTCGAATATTGGTGTTATCACCTTTTGCCGGCCTGGAATCCCACTGGTGAGAGCCTGACTGCGCTCTCTGGTTCAGCAAAATAAAGACAAAACAGTCAAGCGCAGGTCCAATCCATTGTTGAAAGAGGCGCCAAAACAAAGTACCGGTAGATACCGCCCTAATCCGAAACGGCGCCTGGGCTGTACAGTGACTTGCGAAACCAAGCAAGCTGTACAAGCTGTGCAATCCAGCGCTGTAGTTAAACTCCTGCGTATTACTAACCATCAATCCCCGAACTAGTGAAGCTCCGCTGGGTTTTGCACAAGCGGACAAGAGATTCGACCGTTGACTTCAAGAATGGAAGCAGTGCCATCCGCCGCTGCGCAGACCGGCGTTTTTATTACGATTCGTTATTCGAAGTTTGTTTTATAGGATGGCATTGTGTCCCAGAAGGAAGGGTCCGTAATTGCGGGTTACGCCCCCCCCCTCTGGAGAGGCCATAACCTGCGCATTGAAGGACTTCTAACCTGGCCGATTTGAGAAATCATTTTTGGCAAGAGTGGGCGGGGTCTTTACAAAGTGGCTGGAGCTCCTATTAGCGGGCTGAGCCACCTGTTACAGCCTAAAAAAGTGAAAATTCAATAGTGGGCGTGGTCAGAGGGGACGGGGCTTAGAGTGTAAATGCATGGCTATGAGTGTATTCGTTTTGGAAGACTGAATGTGAAAAGAACAACGTCGAAAAAAGTTATAAAAATTCAAAACTGTAACTTCACTGAAAAGTGGGCGGAGTCACATATGTATCGGTACCAAACCGGTATCAGGTCGGAAGTATGTGTGTCAAATAGTCAAATGTGAAAAAAAGAAAATTTGTAAGAAGGAGAATCATAAACATTTGGAAAACAATGACCGCGTGCTAAGAAGTGGGCGGGGATTGCTGGGGGCGGAGTACGGCTTGCAGCGGTACCGTAGTGTGATCTCAGTTATCAACTGCCCTTAAGTGGTGTGTCCTCGATTTGATTCGGAAGGTGCCTTTTTTTGAAAAGTGTCCGATTTGTTTAAAAGTGTCCGATTTGGTTTGAAAAGTGTCCGATTTGGTTTGAAAAGTGTCCGATTTGGTTTGAAAAGTGTCCGATTTAAAGTGAAAATGGTATATACGCAGAAAGGTACCGGAAAGGGGAGTATGAGAGTGACTTTTCCCACTAAATGTTTTAGATGATATCGTGGCTGTTGTTGAAATGTAGCAAGCAACTTTCTCGACAGAATCAGGAAAATCTTTAAGTATTCGTCACCTTCTCCCTTATTGTGACCTCGGCATCGCTATATGCTTTGTTTATTAACTGCTGTATCTCGAGATTTTTTGATGGAAAGCTTTATTCAGGGAAGCGGCCTATTCCTTAGAGGCGATCTTCATCGCCGAAGGCCACGGATGCACCGTTGGTCAACATGCGGATACCTGGTCAGAATCGAAAATGCAAGCAGAAAGAGAAAGACTCATTTGAAAATAAAGTCGCGAAGCCAAGCATATTATAAGCACTACATTAATATAGTTCCTAACGTCTCTGCCTTTCTGTCTGTCTGTCTCTCCGGGAAATTGAATTACCACTATCGATCCTGATTGATAATGCGATGCAATTCATTTCTAAGGAGCGTCCTCTAAAGTGCAGCCGGGTCGTCAAAACAAGAAAATGATGCTGTCTGCTGAAAAGAAGTTGGTAAGATTTGATACGAGGAGTGAATGGGAACGCCACAATATTCATAACGGGGGACGCAGCATCATATATACGCGCTCAGGACCAAGCAGCATTGTGACTAATTCCTCAGGAATCGGGTCTGACATCGTTGCGGCTACATAACAGGTGGCCGCTCGTAATGGAGCTGATGACTAGTGGGACAAACTCTCAGTGGGTATCAGCTCTTTTGACCCAATGGGAACAAAACAACAAGAAACTTTAAGGCAATAGGCACTTAAAGGCATTTAGCATGATAAATTCTAAGACGTGTAGGATCAATACCCCTGACAGGACGGAAGCGCCCCCTAGCAGGCACTGCGTAGCGCCTTTCCCAAGGAAGGTGCTTTATAAGGCCCTATCAAGCTGCAACATACCGACCCGGACGCCCACCGCGCCCGCCCACAAATGGACGACCGTACCTGATGCTCGTATCACTTCATTTGCGGAGTACAATATGAATTAAAGGGATTGATATGAAGCGTGGATATATAGGTACCCACGTGCAGCAGTACTGTAGCTGTTTCCAGTTGGTATTGTGGTAATAGCCAGCTATAGTGGCTATTACCACAATACCAATTGGAAACTCGTCCGAAAATACTTTCCGAGTTGTTGAGAACAAAGGCTTTTTCACAATTGTTTGACCGCTTCACTCCGCCGTTTCGCTATTTTCCTACTACATAGCACCCTTGCTACCATTTTAGACCGAGTACCACTTTATCGTGCCATATGCCTTTTACTCAAGCTGCTTACATTTTACTAGAAGAAGGCTCTCAACGACACTGAGGTCCAGCGTGCAATTTCCTAGAGGGCTCTGACTAAAAGTTGCTCACTGCTCACGAAACATTTGGCCGAGAAACGGACTGCTTCAATTTGTGAAATGGCATTTTCAGTGGCAACTGTGGCAATTTGTCGACTTCAGGATGATCCCGATACGGATTTCACCATATCCGTGTATATTCTTCTTTGTAATTCTTCTGTATCTCGACAGTGTTGGCTACTTGAATCTATTCAACAGAAATATCGAATTGGAATTCGGTCATCGTTCTATTTTCTTCAGAAAGTTAGTCCGTAAGCAAATATTGCAACATTTAGCTTATTAACTACTGATAACATTTTTATTACTTTGCTTTGTCGGTTAACGCTCATTTATTTTCTTCCTATAGAAGCCAAGAAGTGAGCAAACTGACAAGGAAAGGAATGGTTGGTCTAAGTGGCCATTTGAGACAAGATGCATACACACTGATGCGTCTTCGGACGCTGATTTCAAATCTGCTTTCCATATCTGCTAAACGATTCTCTGAGAAGAGATATGCAGGAGGTTGTTGTACGGAGCACAATTGAGCTTGGTACACAAATGAGACGTGAGGTCGTCACACGGAGAAGCATCGGTGCGCCTAAGAGCGATAGTATGTCCGCTCAAGCATGCGAACGACGAGAGCGTATGCAATCCTTTCATAATTCGTCGTTTTGCATTTTCTCAAAAATGCCTCCTGCACATCCGGAAAGCACTTCTGCGAGGCTAGGAGACCTGATTCTACCAAAAAATTTTATTTCTGATGTGATAGAGCCATTTTGGAACACTCCTAGTGGGAACTCCTGATTGTTGGTTTCGGCGACATTATTCGTTCCGTCGTGTTGTGAGGCCAAACTAATTCTAGATGGCAGAGGGAGCCAAAAGTGGCATGTCGTGGGATTTGTTAATCACGATGCGTTCAAAAGCGACCAACCCAAGATTTAGCGAGGAACCTCCACTGCTCACAGAGATTTGAATCGGCGATAGTGCCAGCAACCTTTAGGAATTGGCTGCCTATGGTTACCCCACTGTATCGAAAATAGGTCGAAATCTCAAATTTGGTTGAAAACTTGTCTCTAGAGCTAATTTGAGCCCCAGAGCACGAATATATCACATTCGTTGCGGCGTAAAACGCTTGCCAAGGACGTTGCAGGTTCCTGCACACCCTGCCCCTCCAGAATGCGTACAAGACGTTTTCACGAAATATAACTGCAGTGTTGATTTCCAGGGCACTGAAGCACCTCTAATTTCAGATTCCAGCCAATTTGGGCAATTTGGAGCACCTCATATACATGCTGGAAATGGGTGTGACCTGGTCAAAAATCCTGCATAACTTTGTCCAGGAAATCGTTTAGCAGATATGGAGGGCAGATTTGTAATCAGCGTCCAAGGGCCGTATCGGCAAGTTACGCTTCTCATTTCCGAATGGCCACTTCGCACCAACCATTCCTTATCCTTGCTGAACTTCTGCCCCCCTCACAAGAAATTTCCGTCACAAGTTGTTGTTTCTGAGTCCGTAATGTACAAAAATGGAAGCAGTGAGACTGACCCTGGTAGACAAAGAACGATAGAAATGTATTACACTAATTAATGAGAACATTTCTCGAAGAATAATTCTCTAAATATCAATGCCTTATCAGTTACTTCCCACCCTTTCTGATTTTCTGGCTTGCTTGAGAGCAAATGCGGAACGGAAATTAAGCTATAGTCTTGTTCGCCGCGGAAACTGGGGCGTGACAGTGAGCTCTGTTCGTCTTGGCGCTAGCCCTGGTTTCCACCAATTAATGCCAAATGGTGGAG